TGTGTGTGTGTGTGTGTGTGTCTATCTCTGTGTGTGTGTGTGTGCTCCAGCATCATTTTCAATTATGGCTGCCCCTACACCTGGTGCTTTATGATTGTCCTTCTAGCAGCCACATGCGTCCATGGTGAACCGCGGAGATAAAGGGCTTTATTCTTCAATTCGCGCTCTTCACATGAATAATTACTTTTATGGCTTTCTTCACCTTGTCCTGCTCAGAGACAGAGGACTAATCTCTCCTCTCTGGACTTGTGAGGGCTGGACTCATTCCTTTAGAACAAGTCCTTTAAGAGACATCGGTTCGTGTCAAAAAAAAAGAAAAGAGAAAAACAAAAATTTGCAGATGATGCTTAGGCACATCTGCAGCTGAGATTGCGGGATGCTCTACAATGAAAAAAAAAAGCAATGAAAACAATGCAAACGAAACAGCCATTAGGCGTGCTTCTGAATCTGTAAACGTGCATGCATTCTGTCTCCGTGTGAGCTATTTGTGAGTCCACTTCAGGCACTGAGCTGCTGGGTATGCAGCCTTAAAAGGCTGTGTTTCTGCTGCCATCCCTCTCCCCTCCTGTGTGTCTTTCTCGCTCCGTGTGTTTCCCACTTACGCCTGTTTTCCTCCTCGCTTTTCTTTTGCTGTTCGCATCCGTCACCGTCTCTCCTCTGTCCATCTGTATTCCATTATCGGTGCTTTTTATCATGATTGTTGGGGAGGCAGAAGAGRACGTTGCGAACCCGTTCCATTCACAGCCTTTCACATCAGCGCAGGCAATGACCTTATGTTATTTGAGAGCAAAGCTGGTTAGCGCTGGCAGTTTTGAGAACATAATAAAGCTATTTATGCAGCAAGTCTGGCCTCTCACAATCAGCCTGCTGTCTGAGGCTGGCTGAGGTGTGTGTGTGTGCGTGCGCGTGTGTTTGTGTGTATAAGAGAGGAGAGAGGAGACAGTGAGGCTCAGGCTAAGTAGGTGAGGGAGGCCCGAGGAGCGGTCAGCCTTACATAAACTTTCGGCCTGCCAGTAACTGTACTAACAGCGCTTAGAGCGCCGAGCAGGGAGGGAGTCGAAATAGTCGTGACCCAGCTAAGTAGTTTACACAGTAATAGCCTGGAATGAGGACAGTACTAATGCTTAATACCATTCTGCTGTCTTATAGGGCGATAGTCGTAGAGGCATTAGAGCACCTCCCTAAAGGGGAGTTTCCTCCAGTGTTTCTGTTTGATCTGAGCATGTGCACGTGTCATTTTGTGGTTGGCATCTACCTCTTTTTCCTGTCACCGTCCGCAGTCACATGACGGTCCGGGTTGGCTTTCACACACTTAGTCACTACGATGGCATTTGGGACCCCGAGGCTCCTGAAAGAACAGAGTCACGTGGGCACTGTGTGAAATCAGGCTGAGACTTTGCTTGGACTTAAAGGGAGAGGTTTTTTTTTTAAATTAAATCAGGTTCAGKAACAATTAGTGTCTTACCTGTTGTAGATAACTTTTTGAATGGTCTCAGATTGGAGAAAAATATAGTTTATTTTTGTATATATTGTATGTCTATAATAAAAAAAATACATAGTTTAATGCTGACTAGATTGCTGAGYTAACAGCTAGGCTAAGTGGACTGAAGACCAAAGTAGATTGCTGCTGTTCTAATATRACTTTAGTCTCAAACATTTGTAGCAATTCATGCAAATGSTATTTTAAACGAAAGGACAGACATTTCTTGAARGAATTCATAATTGCTTGCTGCTATTTGTGCCAGAGTTTCAAATTAAGATCATCTCATGTTGGGAAAAGACAGATGTAGCTATTTTGGTTAAATTATTCAGGGATGAATCTCAGTTACTACCACATCAACTTTCCACGCTCAAACTCAAAGGGAGGCTGTGGCAGAGTGGTTAGGGGAGTCGTCCTCTAAACAGAGTTGGCAGTTCGTTCCCCTGCTATTTGGTCACATGTTTAAGTGTCCCCGAGCAAGACACTGAACCCCCACTGCTTCTGATGTGTGTCCCATCAGTGTATGAATGTGATTTAAAGCACTGATTAGTCTCTATAGAT